GATCATGCTCAGTGAAAAAGCCAGAAAGAAAAAGAAAAATATCAGATGGTTTCTCTTATAGGAGGAATGTAGATAAAAATGTAGATAAAAATCAACAGGCGGGCCTCCCTGCTGGTGCAGCAGTTGAGCACTGGCTGCAAAGCCTCCCGCAGCCTCTGCAGCGCCGGTTCGATCCCCCGCCTGGTGAGGGTCCCACATGGCGTGCAGACCTCTCCTGCATCCTGCTGCTCCCCTCAGCCGTGTACTCTGGACCTTCTGCCTGTTCTGCTCCCTGCTCTGGCTCTGGTGAATTCTCTCACCCTCCCGCGCTTCTGACTGTACCCTGTGCTTATATAAATAAATAAAATCTTTAAAAAAAACAAATAATAATAATAATAAATAAAATCTTAAAAAAAAAATCAACAGGCAACCATAAACCAGCGACATTCTGCAGGGGAGAGAAGGGAGTAGGATCAAAAGAGGGGTGGGAATAGCACAAGGGACCATGTGATGGTTCATGGGTGAATGGGGGGTGGGAATTTCACCGGGACTATAATCAAGATAAAAATGCATACATTGTATAAAAATGAAAAATGATGTAAAATATATATAAAATATTTTTTAAAAGATTAAAGTAAACAAAGGTTTTTAGCCTTTGTAAGTTATGAAATGGGCTGTGAATTTTTTTTTAATTATGGAGGCAAGTTAGTCATATAAGTATAAAAGTAATTCAAAATTCTCTCACAACCTGCCTGCCAATGTTTCCGATATGAATCCAAAATTCCATGAAGACTGGTTTTCTAAATTATCCTCAAATACATGATTATTCCTAGTTAGTCAGTAGCATTAAAATGATTTACTAGTATTTGCTTAACATTTTAATTTTTCAAAGTACATTTTTTCAAAATCACCAAGATAATTTTATTTGACCCTGAAGCAAATCTTTGGAAATAAGCACATATACAGATCAGGTAACTGAGGTTCTGAGACAGTAAGTGACTTAGTCATGAAAATGTTGGCTGGTTATTGGTAAAATGGAAACCAAAATGTAGGTTCTAAGACCAGAGTGTTCACCTTTCTTGTAAAGTTATGGCTTTTTGCTTTTATGTAAACTCATTCCACCTGTATTTCAAGTTCCTTCTGTTCTAATTTTTCAGTATTACCCACATCCAAGATTTCTCTTTCTTATTAAGTCCTGTTAATCTAAATGTAATCCTAATGGTCATTAATTTTTTGTTATGTGACTACATAACAATCTGTATGTGTATTTCCTGGCTATGTAACGGTGACATAAGTTTCTTTCTTTTTTTTTTTTTTTTTAAAGATTATTTATTTATTTATTTATTTATTTATTTATTTATTCATTCAAGCACTGGGTACAGTCAGAAGCGCGGGAGGGTGAGAGAATTCACCAGAGCCAGAGCGGGGAGCAGAGCAGGCAGAAGGACCGAGGTACACTGCTGAGGGGAGCAGCGGGCAGCAGGAGAGGTCTGTGCGCCATGTGGGACCCTCCTCCGGTGGCTGGGGAGCAGCTGGGGATCGAAACAGTGCTGCAGAGGCCGCAACCCAGTGCTCAACTGCTGTGCCATGGGGGAGGCCCTGACATAAGTTTCTTAAGGTTTTTATGTATCTCTTTCACAGTCTGTGTCCCTGCGGTATATACCTTCCTATTGTGTTTTGCCTTTGCTTGAACCTGCCTGGTACCCCCTCATTTGCCTCTAAATTTGGTATCCTTATATTTAGTTTACAGTGACTGATCTTACATTGAGGTAGACTCAGTACTGTCGGTCCAGGCTCTTTACAATCCTTGGACAAGGGTTGTTCTTGTAATCTACACTATGTCAATCAGACTCCAAATAGAATTAGAATCAAAAAAGGGAAAGAAGCAAGAAAACATTTGAAGGTAATACGCACCAAAGACAGTACCCTAACAAGACTTTCCATTCACTCCTGGTCCTATATTCTCTAAGTTGCCACAGTTACTGTTCATTTAAAGGTCAAGTTGTTCAGCCTTTCCTAGTTTTGGCCAAGCCATTTATATCCATCCAACAAATTAATTCTATTTTTGGCTTAAGTTAGACAGAGTCACTTTTTGTTGCATGCAAACACAGATCTTTATCTGGTAGACCCACAAAGCTTAGTGCTTAGGAAGGGCTCAGTATCTTTAAATGTTTTGTTCTTATGCAGGTTATATATGCTATTACATATGGAAAACAATATCAACAATTCACCCTGAAGTATACTGTTGCTGTTGGTTAGAATTTTAATAACCAATAGGGAAGCCAGGACCAAACTAACACTGGGAACTCATCTGCATGGAAATAACTTTTTATCACATTTCAGCACCTTTGTTTGATGACTCAGAGTAATAATTCACTGCTGCAAATTATGAAAGGATTGTGGTGAGGGTCTTACAATAGTGGTGCCTTTCAGGGATATTTGACATTTAGGTTAACCCAACTGTTTTTACTGTTCTTCCCAAATATTATATGGAACAATTGTGACCATGAGTTTTCAATATTATTTTGCTACAAGATACATTTGTTAAATTTAACTGCTTATATAATATGACGGTTCCCTTTGAACTAGGTAAGTATTTTATCATACTCCATAGCTTCTCGTGAAAAGCAGTGGATTTCCGTCTTGAATTCACTTAGAATGGAAATTATAATTAGAATAATTTAGGTGTATCAATAATATTTTAAAAGCATAATCAGTTCTCTACAAGGAAAGTTCCCTCTGCACTTTTTAAGAAAAACAAAATGGGGTCTCCCTGGTGGCGCAAGGAGTTAAGACGCAACCTATGAATCTATTTGGAGCCACTGCAGCACCAGTTTGATCCCTGGCTAGAGCACAACATACTTGGTGCAGCAGACCTTTCCTGACTCGCCTGCTGCTCCCCTCAGCAGTGTATTTCAGTTGATCCGTCTGTTCTAATCCCTACTCTGTCTCTGGTGAATCCTCTCAACCCCCACAACTCTGGCCTGTAGCCCAGTTCTTTTATGCATGAATAAATCTTTAAAAAAAAAAGAAAAAAATGCACTAAGAAAATCAACCAAGTACTCTTTCATAATAAAACTGGAATTTAACAACAATACCAATTAATCATATACCAGTGGTTGGTTAATTCAGATTCAAATAGATTATAAACCTAGACTAACTATTTCCATGTGCTCAGTAAACCTCTGTCACTTTAGACAACTGATTCTATTCAGAATCCTTTGCATTCCAGGAGCATGCTTTAATCCTAGATATTACGGAAATATCATGTATGTATATGACATTCCACTTTCTTAATGAAAAGTATTTCCCTGAAGATGAAAATCCTACTGAGAAGGGTCAACATTTTTAAGCATTCACTTCTTTCTCTTTTAGCATACCTACTACTACATGATAGTATTTCCCATAAGATTTTTTTTTTATTTTAAGTTGGCAAAAATCTTTGTGCTGAATCCTTTGAGCATAGCTCTAGTGATAGATGTCAGATCAGCGTTGTGTGGAAGAACTTTTATTTGACAGGTAGATGACAGGAAGAAGCCGCTCTCAAAAATATAAGATATAAAATCCTTCTATGAGATTATTATATTTTGTTCCTATGATTAAATGACTTATTGTTGCTTCAAAGAAATTACTTCATGTAATTAAATTGAAGTGTGAAAACACACAAAAGATACATAGCTATTCAAATTAAGATTGTTTTAAATGTATTATTTGAAATAAATGTGAAATAGTATACAACATATATTTTTAATGATTTTTATTTTAATTTATAGTATATTTACAACCATTAACCTATTATGCATGTAGCATAATCTATAAACAAGGAGCATTTTGGTAAGAGATGACTTAATTAGTGTTGGGTTATGGTATGTGATAACAAAGAAAGTCCTCAATATTTGGTTGTATCTTACAAATCCTGCTATGATTTATGCCAACTCATTACAAGCAATATCTTATTCTGCCATTATCACATCACTTCCCTGAATAACTAGAAAAGAGAGTAAATATGTTTTTGTGGACAAAATCTAGCATTTGCTTTTTGTTCCTTACACCACTTAAAAATAAATCAGGAATAAACAGATACTCAACAATTTTATTTTATATCCTATTACCTACAAATTTTATTCTTTATATCTACCTGGGTTGGAACAAACAGGAATAAATATTTCTTGATTTATACTAAATAGAATACTAGTCCACATATATGTAATGCACATCTATTTAATGAATGAAGAGAAAATTAATTTGCATCTACTCTTAGATCTGTGATTATAATACATTTCAGAATGATCTAAAGTTCTCCTATGTTTTCAGATCTGAGAGGAAGAAAAAGGGAAAGAATGGTAAGATGTCAAAGACAGATTGCTTGTTTTTAGATTTACTTTTGTCTCTAGCTTTCTGACAGGACTTCACCTTTATCTTTTCAGATTTCTCTCTGTAACAGACAGATATTTTCCTTGAATAAGGTGGTTTGCTCTAGCTTAGTAATAGACATATATGATCATGTTTTTTGTTTACTTTTCACAAGAATTAAATCTCAAAAATAATGCTATGAAATGGCTGAATAAAAATAAAGTGATTACCACTATTTTTTTAACTTTTATTTAATGTGCTAGAAACCTAGTAGTAGCTTAGCAACACCACACTATTCAACAATAACACATATCATTGTCTTAGAGTAGAATAACTAAAGCATTTGCATTTTTGACTATTTACCTAATTTGACTTAGCTACTCAAATACAAGATTTCTTCCATATTATGAAATTATTTTATTTTAGATTATAAACTTCAGTTAGATTTGACCATCAAGAGTGTAGAACTATGCTTTGAAAGAATGGCATACTCCTTGGTGTATGCAAGATTTCTAAAAATTAAGATATAACTCAAATACCATACAGTTCACTCTTTCAAAGGCACATGCTTTTTCAACTTAGCTACTATTGTGCTATGGTTATTTAGTGGGACCCCCTCATAGATGAGATTATTTTCATAAATTAGCATCACAAAAATGTAACCTTACCTTACAAAGGAAGTTGATATTAAAACCCAAAGATTGGGCATTTCTTGAGCCTGAGTTCATGTAGTTTCCAACCAAAAGAACTAACTCTAAAAGTCTGTAAAAGCTTTCACTTTTTTTCAGTTCTTCACAGGCAAGAGTTACTGCTATGATGCTAGGTTTGATGTTGTTTACATGTTCTTCAAATGTGAGCTTGAAAAGAATGCCATTGAGACGAGGCCGCAACATTTTCACCGAGCTCATCTGTAAAATAAGAAATTCTCCATCAGAATATACATTTAAAGCAGATTATTTCCCTGTAGAAATAATTTATATGTAAAATTCCTGCATAAAATGAATTTTCATTGGATTGTAACAAATATCATTTTTGCTTGTTTTAGCCATCCTAAAGGGATATTTATCAAAGCTTAAAAGATAGCTAACTGTTCAGTTTTTAGCAATAAATCACCTTTATAGCATTGAGAAAACAATATTGACGCTAAACAGTCGCTATTTGAAAACTGCATAATCATTAGCCAGCAAAAGCATTTAAATTGCCAAAAATTTGTGCCAGTGGTGAACAAAGAAAATTTATAAATACAAAATTGAATGAATAGTTGGGCCACAAGTAAAAGGTGTACATGATGACAGAAATTATAAGTGAAATCACATTTCCTAAGAAATTATCTATTACTATGCTGGTTGAAATCAGAAGACTAGCTCTGATTAAGCATTTAATAATTTTTAGACCTAAAATTTCTATTGAGAAACTATATTAAATATTTATATATGCTCTAAAGAATTTCACCTACTTGACAGAATGTTGATATTAAATAATTAGGTTATGGCAAAATCATGTGAACTTACTTTCAAGTACATTATTCAAGAATTCTATATTGGTTTTCCTCAAAACAGGTCAACTTAGGTTTTAATTACTTGCTTTATAGTATTGATGTACATTATATAGATGCATCTATATTCTCTTTGTAATAGCTCCTACACTAATAATTCTTTTAGCCTTTAATTTCCTGTAACTCCAAATCACTTAACTAGCTTTCATTTGCCAAATGAATTCAGGAGAGAGGCAGGGGGAGGGTAGACACACATGTAAGCAAATGCAATGAAAAGGAATTATTAATGGTCCTAGTTATATTAATTTTTGGCATGTAAAGCATAGTGTCTTGACTACAAATGCTAGGCATGGATTACACACTGATTACATACTGAGATATCTGTAGATGACATAAAAAGACTTTGACAGCATCAACAGAAGTTCTTAAACCACAAATTATCTTTCAAAAATAGCAAATGAGCTGTTGAATAGATCATACCTGCTCTAATGCAGAGCAAGGCATAAATATTATGTAGGTATAGGTATTCCCACTTCCTACCCATCACTAGCTTTTTTATATGATCAGGGTAAGCGACACACCATCCTATTCTTTTGTTTTAAAGATTTATTTATTTATACAAGAAACGGGGGTATAGGCCAGGTGTGCGAGAGGGTGAGAGGATTCTTCAGAGACAGAGTGGGGAACAGAAAAGGCAGACAGACTGAAATACACTGCTGAGGGGAGCAGAGGGAGAGACAGGAGAGGTCTGCCGCACCATGTGGGTATCTCTGCTGCTGGCTGGGATTGAACTGGCATTGTAGAGGCTGCGGACAGCTTCAAAGCGGTGCACTCAACCGCCTGCGCCACCAGGGAGGCCCCATCCTATTGTTTCTTTAGTGCTTATACACTAAGTATAAGATATACTATGTACTCACAAAAAGCTTCCAATGTGACATAAAACTTCTAACACACTGTAGAGCCAGCAAGGCACAGAACAGGTTTTCTATGACCCGGGCAGTGGGGTAAAGGAGTCCTGGGGCCCTCAATAGCTTTATTAGTCTTTTTTTTTTTTAAATATTTTATTTTTTTTTTTTAAATATTTTATTTTATTTTTTATTTTTTTTTTTTATAGAGGCATGTTTTATTTATTTATTTGTTTGTTCATTTGTTTTGTTTATACATGCACTGGGTACAGTCAGAAGCGCGGGAGGGTGAGAGAATTCACCAGAGCCAGAGCGGGGAGCAGAACAGGCAGAAGGACCGAAGTACACTGCTGAGGGGAGCAGCGGGTGGCAGGAGAGGTCTGCGCACCATGTGGGACCCTCCTCCGGTGGCCGGGGAGCAGCCGGGAATCGAACCGGCGCCGCAGAGGCTGCGGGCAGCTTCGCAACCCAGCGCTCTACCGCTGCGCCACCGGGGAGGCCCCTTTATTAGTCTTTTAATGATCTTTCTATACAACTTGTATTGAGGCTACTAAGTGCAGGGAAGGCAGGGAGGCCTGGGGCCTGGGAGGTGAACCTTTAGTCTTTCTTGGCTTTCTGTCCTGCTCTCCTGGTCTCTTTGCTGGTCTCTACTGCTACATGGCCCTCTGCTGTCGCGTCCTCTGTTCTCTGCTCTCTGCTTCTGCCCTTATATGCTCAGTCTCTGGCTCAGGTGTACCCATGACACACTCCAGGTGCTGCTATCAGGCACACATGTAAGCCCACAGGTATTGATCACAAACGGTAATGGCGGGAGGGCAGAAAACACCTGCTCACTTCCATTTACCCGACACACACTCATGTGAAAATTACAGCTAGTGATAAAATCAGCATATGATCACACATGGGAAAAAGTAAAATTTAGTGGTGGATATGTTTGCTGCAAGAAAACTTACAGCTGTTATGATGACTATAATGTTTAATAAAGGCCTCCCAGAAGAGGGGACAAAAATAGGGGAAAGAAAAAAGAGAGAGGTTGAGAGAGAGCAAGAAACTTGCGAGAAAGGTTTATAGATTAGGAATAGACAGAACAGAATTGGAACAAAGTACCTGACAATTACATGGAATTGTTTCCTAATCATGTTAAAGTCTATGTCTCCATAAATGCACAAATCTCTGTGTATGTTGTATGGGGATCTAAGTTCAGAAGACAAAGACAGACAGACAGATACAGACATTATTTGCATGCCTGTACCACTACAAACCCCTCACATTTTATTTTTCCTTTCCCTAGTAGCTGGGCAAAATGAGCAGAGGCATATTTTCTATCATTTTATAAGCTTAAGGAGTAAATTCTCAATCTCCCTGATAGTGAAATATTCATAAAGCAACTTAGACCAGCTGCTAGTCACCATGTACCTGCCCTTCAGGCCATGTTTTGCAATGTTTGTAGGGATCCAGCTCACCAGGGTAGACTTAGTCCTAGATAGACAAGGAATTTGAACTTTAGTCTCAGATGGATTTTCTGTCTTGATTTAGGTTCTAACTACTTGTTGTCATTTGTGTTTTTATCTTTCTGGGTTTTGTGTTTCAGTCTTTGTCTACAAACCCAGAAAACAGACATTTTTTTAATACCAGCTCCAACTGAGATAAATGCAACCCAAAGCATACTTTATTAATAGCAGTAACAATCGTAAAAGTGATTAGTTTTGAGTACTAAGTGACAGACATTTTTCTACATATGCATTTAGATAAATTGATTTAAATACCAAACACTTTGCATATAAATAGTGAAACATTTATTTGAGAAGGTAATAATACTGTTTTCTTGATATTTGTGGTTTTAAGTAAAATGATGATATCTAGTAAGAATTGGACATTTAGTGTTCACGCTTATAAACATTGGAGTGGGTAGATTCAGAAGTTATCTTAACAGACATTGTGGAAGACAAGGTTGTTGATGGGAAGAATGTGTAGAAAAAGTCAAAGACTGCAGCCTGTTGCAGCATCTACCACAGATTCTGTATATATTAGACATTCAAATATTTACAGATTGACTTTTAAATGTACTCTTTAGCTGACTCACCATGTTCTAGATTTTCTCCCAAGTAGGACAGATTGTTTACGGAATAAAATTAATAGTATGGTAATATTTTTCTGTCCCAAAAATAATGTCTTCAACTAAGATGTCAAACCAGAAATGCCAGGGATTTAGCTTTGTTGAATTGCACTACTGAATATAGTCATCTATCATCAGTCAGTCAGATTTTGGGAAGCAGCTGTGCATTGTAAAGAGGTCAGAGTTATCCTTTGTTCTGGTAAAATTTCTTGATGTATTTACCCTATAGAGTATGGTTTAACACATACCAGGTGATAAGTGTGATAGGTGATTAAAGACATTGTAAAATAAATAAATGAATTCATTCACACAAATAGTAACTTCAATGTCAGCAAAACACTGAATTAGAAGAAGGATACATGGTGTGAAGAGGTTTCAGAATAGGCTGATATGGGTAAGGGGAAGTTAGCCCATGTCAGGACATTTGCTATCATGTAGGTCATCCCAGGAATACTCTACCCAGTCTAATCGTAGCCCAAATTCAGAGCCTTATCTACCTTTTTTGGAAGGGTATATTCCATAGATTCTTTCCCTAAATTCCTGAGAGGGAGAGAAAGCATTCTCTGCGATTACTTAAAATATAATGTAAGTCAGTTGTAGCAGAAAAAACAAGGGCTTTGAGTTATACAGACCTGGATTTGAACTAAAGTTCTATTATTTTCTAGTTGTATGACCTAGTAAAAGTTACCTAATGTTTCTGAGACTTTATTTTTTCATCAGTAAAACACATTCCTATAGTGACCAAAACAAGATGCAGTAAGACTTAAATGAGATACTATGTGTAACACTCCTAACATAGTAGCTAACAGACTATAAACACTCTAAAACAATAGCTGTTGCTATTAACCCTCTTTACTCATTCTCAAGAAGAATGAACTATTGTCATTTATTATTTTACCCTACCTGAGGGAAAGTTTCTCTAATCCATAATGCAGGAAGTGCGTTTCTAGGGCTTAGTGAAGAACTGCCCACATTATCTATTGAACACACTGGAAATACTGTGAGAGAGCAAACTCTTTAGGTAGTTTTAATGTGTAGTATACTTTTACTATTAGTAATCTTATCACTGAAATTATTATGAAATTAAGAGATTATGGAGAAGTTATATGGGTATATTTCTTAACAGGAGCAACAAATCAGTATAGAGTGATCATACTAATGGATTTTTTTTTTTTACTAATGAACTATTTTTTTTAAGATTAACACTTTCTATTACAATTATAGGTTAAATACAGTACAGGCATATAAATTATATTTTACTTAACTACATTTATTACCATTCAAAAAATTTTCTCCTAAGCTTCTCTATGCTTTTTTTTTACATCATTTTTCATTTTTTTTTTTATTTTTATATTCCCCATACAATTGCACCACCCTTATTTTGGCCCCAAT